CCGCAGCCTCGACCTGTTGGCTCAGGCAGTCCTCCCACCTCAGCCTCCTCAATAGCTGAGACTATAGGCGCATGCCACCATGCCCAGCTAAGGTTTTAATTTTTTTGTAGAGATGAGATCTTGCTATGTTGCCCAGGCTGGTCTCAAATTCCTGGGCTTAAGCAATAATCCTGCCTCAACCTCCCAAAATGCTGGGATAACAAGCATGAACCACCACACAGGCCAAATCTGCCTTTATAACAAATGGGAAAGATGCCTGAAGTTGGGAGAGTCAGGCAGGAGGTGGCATCTAACCACAATTTGATAACACTCTGGTATTTTTGCAGTGGTGTTTGTATGTATGGATACCTTTATGCCAGGGATGTTGTTTACCCTTTATGTGAGCAACATAAAGTTTCTTTGAAAGAGAACATGTTAGGCTGGGTGTGGTATAATCCCAGCACTTTGGAAGGCTGAAGCAGGAGGATCACTTGAGGCCAGGAGTTTGCAACCACCCTGGGCAACATAATGAGACTCTGTCTCTACAAAATAATAAAGTTTGCCAGGTGTGGCAGTGTATGCCCGTGACCCCAGCTATTTAGGAGGCTGAGATAGAAGGATCGCTTGAGCAGTAGAGTGAGACTGTGACTCAAAAAAAAAGAAAAAGAGAGAAAAGAAATAGATACTTGCTGTAAATGACTAAGTTTTGGGGCTGTTTGTTACACAGCATTATTGCAACAATTGCTGACTGGGATGCTTTGAGAACTCCTGCACTGTGAGGCAGGCAGGGGCATTACAATCATCCCCATTTTACAGCTGAAGAATTTGGGAAGCTTCAGTAATTTGTCTAAGGTCACACAGTCAGTAAGTGAGAGAGCAGAGATTCATACCCAAGGCTCTGGCCTCAACCTGACACTCTCATTCCCCCAACCCCACACTGACCACTCCAGCTCCTCCAGCTCCCGGCCTTTCATGACTTCCTGAATCTCTTCCCGGCACTTCTCCTGGTATTCCGGATACTTCGCCAGATTGAAGAGTACCCACGAGAGCCCACTGGATGTCGTGTCGTGACCTGCAGGCAGGTGAGGTCATCTGAATGGAGGCTGCCTGAAGACAGCAGAGATACTATCTGTAGGCACCGGCGCCCTTTCCTGTCTTCCCTCGGCCTCACCCCACATCCTCACCCTCAAACATGAAGGTGTCTGCCTCGGCTCGGATGTCCTCGTCCGACAGTTCCTTTCCGTCTTCATCCTAGAATGGGCAATAGAGGATGCTTGGCCCCCTTCATCCCATCCTCTACATCCTGGGGGCTCCTGAAAAGTCAGATATCCGCCCCCTTTGAGTTAGGGTATCACTCTCACCCAGACTGGAGTGCAGTGGTATGATCATGGCTCACTGCAGCCTTGAATTCCTAGGCTGAAGAGATCCTTCTGCCTCGGCCTCCCGAGTAGCTGAGATTACAGGTGCATGCCACCATGCCCAGCTTTTTAAAAACTTTTGTAGAGACAAGGTCTTGCAGTGTTGCCCAGGCTAGTCTCGAACTCCTGGGCTTAAGCAATCCTCCTGCCTTGGCCTCCCAAAGTACTGGGGATTACAGTTGTGAGCCACCATGCCTGGCCCCACCCATCCCTCTCTTAAGCCAAGTAGTAGGGGGAAATATTCCAGGTAGATGGAACTATGCAACTTGTCCATGAAAGATGGACAGAGGGAGCTGAGTGCAGTGTCTCACACCTGTAATCTCAGCACTTTGGGAGGCAAAGACGAGAGGATTGCCTGAGCCCAGGGTTTCAAGACCAGCCTGGACAACTTGGCAAGACCTCATCTCTACGATAAATCAAAAAATTTAGCTGAGCATAGTGGTGGGTGCTTGTAGTTCCAGCTACTTGGAAGGCTGGGGCGGAAGGATCACTTGAGCCCAGCAGATGGAGGCTGTGGTAGCCATGAGCATGTAACTGCACTCCAGCCTGAGAGACAGAGTGAGATTCTGACAGGAAGGAAGAAAGGGAGGGAGGGAGGGGAGGGAGAAAGAGAGATAGAGAAAAAGGGTCAAAGGTAAGAGGAAGAAGGGAGCTCTTACTTCTTTTTTTTTCTCTCACTATGTTGCCAAGGCTGGTCTTGAATTCCTGGGCTCAAGTGATCCTCCTGCCTTAGCCTCCCAAAATGCTGGCATTACAGGCACAAGCCACTATATCCATGCCTTGGGAGTTCATATTTCTTTTTTGTTTGTTTGTTTTGTTTTTGTTTTTTATTTTTTGAGTTGGAGTCTCACTCTTGTCACCCAGGCTAGAGTGCAGTAGCATGCTCACGGCCACCGCAGCCTCAACCTGCTGGGCTCAGGAGATCCTTCCACCTCAGCCTTCCAAGTAGCTGGAAGTACAGACACATGCCACCATGCCCAGGTAGTTTTTGTGATTTATTGTAGAGACAAGGTCTTACCAAGTTACCCAGGCTGGTCTTGAACCCCTGGGGCTCAGGCAATCCTCTCACCTTGGCTTCCAAAGTGCTGAGCCACTGTGCCCGGCTGGGGGTTCATATTTCTTGAGCAATTTCTGACACCAAGCATCTCTCTGAATGCTTGACAACAACCTTTTTTTCTTTTTTTTGAGTGGAGGTCTCACTCTGTCACCCAGGCTAGAGTGCAGTGATACAGTCATGGCTCACTGCAGCTTTGACCTCCTGGGCCCAGGTGATCCTTCTGCCTCAGTCTCCCAAGTAGCTGGGACTACAGGTATACACCACAATGAACAAATAATTTTTAAAAATTTTTTTGTAGAGATGGGGTCTCACTATGTTGCCCAGGCTGGTCTTGAACTCCAGGCCTCAAGCGATTCTCCTGCCTTGACCCCCAAAGTGCTGAGATTACAAGTGGAAACCACCACATCTGGATAACTTTTAAAAAACTTTTTTTGTAGAGACGGGGTCTCACTATGTTGCCCAGGTTGGTCTTGAACTCCTGGCCTCAAGTGATCCTCCTGCCTCGGCCTCCCAAAGTGCTGGCATTAAAGGTGTGAACCACCATGCCCAGTCAACATTTATCATTTTAGAAAGCTAGTACAGGCTGGGCTCGGTGGCTCAGCCTGTAATCCCGTGCTTAGGGAGGCCAAGGTGAGTGGATTGCCTGAGCGGGTTCAAGAACCGTCCGGGCAACTTGGCGAGACCTCATCTCTACAATAAATCAAAAAATTAGCCGGGCGTAGTACCGCCCGCCTGTAGTTCCAGCTACTTGGAAGGCTGAGCGGAAGGATCGCCGGAGCCCAGCATGTCAAGGCTGTGGTGGCCGGGAGCGGCCACTGCACTCCAGTCTGGGCGACAGAGTGAGACTCCAACACCAAAAAAAAAAAAAGAAAAGAAAAGAAAGCTAGTACAATTCCTGGGGAAGCTGTCTGGAGCAGGGCTCCACCCTCCAGGGCCCAGCCTCACCCTGGCCAGAAGCAGCACATCGATGAAGTCCAAGGTCTTGCCCTGCTTGGCCTTAAGCCAGGCCTCAGCCCCTTGCAGTCGCAGAGCCCGCCGCCGCTCCTGGATGACCTCAGTGGTGAAGTGGTGCACGGTGTCACAGGCTTCCCGGAACCGCCGCCCATCGGCCGTGCGGTAGTAGATACAATCCAGGTAGTGGTGCAGGCGATACTGGCGCCGGACAGCCAGGGCGCTCAGCTCAATGATGGCTGAGATATAATCACTCATCTTCCTGCCAGAGAGAAGAAGGATCGTGAACATAGCTTTTCCCCCTCATCCCGCACAGCCACACCCATAGGTTGGCTAACACAAATCTTTTCTCCCCGTTGGGTAGATAACACAGAGACTTATATTCCCTGTACAAGGTCCAACAATTAAGTGTGCAAACTCATCCTAGAAAAAGTGCTACATACCTTGGTACTATCACTATGATCACCATGGAAGTGTTCCTCTTGGGAAGCTGTGCACTGACATCAGCTCCTAGTCCACCCGGCAAAGCAATTTTGGAACTCTTTCTGGAATGGCCATCAGAACTGTCGTCGTATTACCCTTGATGTTCTGAATGTCATCAGATGTCTTCCTTTCAATATTTCCCTTAACTTCAGGTAAAGAAAAAGTCATTGGGGGCCAGATCAGGTGAGTAGGGAGGGTTTTCTAATACTGTTATTTGTACAGTGCTGCCAATGTAAGTGCACAGTGGCGGGTTTGTGAACTTTTTTTTTTTAGTTGGAATTTCACTCCATCACCCAGGCTGCAGTGCAGTGGCATGCTCATGGACACCCCAGTGTCGACCTGCTGGGCTCTGGAGATCCTTCTACCTCAGTCTTCCAAGTAGCCGGAACTACAGGCATGCGCTACCATGTCCAGCTCATTTTTTTTTTTATCATAGAGATGAGGTCTCGCCAAGTTGCCTGGACTGGTCTCAAACCCGTGGGCTCAGGCACTCCACTCGTCTCGGCCTCCCGAAGTGCTGAGATTACAGGCTGAGTCACCAAACCCGGCCGGTTTGTGAACTTAATTGTCAAAACTCAACAAATAATGATGACGCTTCTGATGGTCATTGCAGAAAAAGAGTTCCAAAATTACTTTAACAGGTGGATGAGGCATTGGTGTTATTGCCTAGTTTCTCAAGGGGAGTATTTCGGAGGTGACTGTAGTGATATTCAGCAATGAGAGATGTAGCACTTTTTCTAGGATGATTCACGAACTTGTCAGGCCTTGCATACTATATTTTAAAAATATTTTTATTTGCAGTTTATTTATTTGTCTATTATTTATGTTTTTGAGTTGGAGTCTCACTCCATCACCCAGGCTAGAGTGCAGTGGCACACTCACGGCCACCCCAGTGTCGACCTCCTAGACTCCGGAGATCCTTCTGCCTCAGCCTTCCAAGTAGCCAGAACTACAGGCACGCACTACCACACCCGGCTGATTTTTGATTATTGTAGAGACAAGATCTTGCCAAGTTGTCCAGGCTGGTCTTGAAGCTGTGGGCTCAGGCAGTCCACTCACCTCGGCCTCCCAAAGTGCTGGGATACCACCTGAGCCACTGAGCCCAGCCAGATTGATTGATTTAAAGAGATGGGGTAAGGGTTCTCACTATATTTGCCCGGGCTTGCCTTGATCTCTTGGTCACTAGGAATCTTTCTGCTTCAGCCTCCCCAATAGCTGGGACTACAAGCCCATGCCACCACACTCACCCCCTTTTTTTTTTTTTTTTT